GCTGCACTCGTTGCGCTGGTTGTTGGGTTAGTGCTACTACTTAGGAGGCAGGGCGGGGGCCGTATGTTTCGTTTTCTGGGGCCCCTAAAATACCGCTCGTTATATATATATTTGGAGGGGTTTTGTCCGCTTTTGGATTCGTCAAAGTGGGTGACAGAGACGGTGTGGAGGGAGGTACGGACCAAGGACTGAGGCCAACATAGGCGACCATTTATCAAGACCAGCATTCTTTGGCCCACTAAGCGATTTTACTTTTTGGCATTAAAAGAAGAGGGGGAAAGGGAAACCTTATACTCCTTTACTTGACTCGCCAGACCGAGAGCGGGTCGAATATGCACAAACTAACCGATCGCGAAGCATTGACAGTCTAAACGTATTTGCCCTAAACTTACACCGACTGTCCGAAGGTCGAGTCGAAGTTTATCAACTCCGTAAAACGAGTTGAAAACTAAGGACTTTTAGGACATGTAGGACATGTTAGAAGCGCAAGCGCAAGGGGTGTTACGTCAAGCCGCCTTTTCGCTCCGTTTCATTTTGCAGGTTAATAGGGCTATAGTTTTCAGGTTACCCGGGTCTCTTTCGCAACCTTCGGCAACTTCTAAAAAAATTTCGAACCGACACACTTGGCATGTCAATCCGTCTAAAGTCGCGTCGATCCGCATATCTAAGGTGGCGGAATTCTCATTTAATCCGAAATGGTCTTGTGATAGCTCTCAAACACGCCCAGCTCCAAGATTTTCAAGATTTTTTCAAAGCTGCTGTGTGGACGTACCGTTATGGTTTTCACTCTTTTTTCATTCAGTATGTGAACCTGTATGTTCATACGATAGTGTGTGTGTGAGCTTAACTGTGTGTATTAAACTAAAACGGAGCATTTTCTGTCAGCTCAGATTTTAAACTTTAGTTTCTGCTTATGTGTTTTATTGATGGTGTATCGGCTACTGCCTGAACATGCTGGATGAAAGGCAGATTTTACTATGAATCAAATCATTTTTGATACTCAATATATTTTTTTCCACTTTTTTTCTAAGGTCACATTGAAACATTAAGGTCACTCAAAAAGTAATAAGAATACATCACTTGTTTATTCTGATACTCAGATGAGGTTACATACCGTACAGATCCTCAGTGCTGTCGATGAGGAAGTTGTTTTTTCTCCTCACGTTGATCACGGCGGGGTATTCCTCCAATAAGGCAGAATAGGCATACTGAAACAAGGAAAGCAAATAACAGTCAACACAGCACAAGTTGAGATACGGAAAATCAGGTGATGTTATGCACATCCACAAACAATTCAGATCTGGCTATGAGAGATAATGAACCACACTGCTGGAAACAGACATGTGTGATTAAGAGAGAGAGCAGTTCATGGGTGTTGATTATGACCTTTGTTTTAATTTACATCTTTTATGAATGCTACCAGGCGGGTGGAGTTTACTCCATCAGATATACACAGACAAAGAACTTGTTAATAGTTACCGTTGCAGTTTAATAGTTGCTTAGAAAATGTTTTTATTGCTGCTTTATATCAAATTAAAAAAATGTGGATCAAAATGATTATAGTTTATATAAAAACTAAATAATAATAATGATTATTAATATATTTTCTTACGGGGAATGAGGCAAACTTACAAGAAAAAACTTTTCTTTTAAAAAGGGGTACATTTAGGAGAAAAAACTATGCTAATGTACCATGAATCTCTAAAATGATTAAGTAATTAATTTGCAATAATTCATGTATTCGTATCTGATAAAGAATACTTGCGTTGCTAAATATACACAGTATATAGACAGTGTCCTCTACAGAAAATTCACTAAGAAAACATGATATTAAAAATAGAAACAATATGTTATAAATTAACCTGTATGATACATGTTGGTGTACTTTGTGAAAGAGGCCTAGAATCATATGCTTTCAATCAGTTGAAAAGTCAGTGTTATTTCAAATTGCAGATCAATGTCTAGTTTTTCTCACTGTATGATTTAGTTAGGAAATATATTCAAGCATCTGAAAATACTTTTTCAATGGCTTTAAAGAAAGTCAAGACTGCATTATGTTCACACTTGAAGAGTGTAGAGAAAACACAACAACACACAGAGATGACTGTAATGAGATGTGTTCTGACCTGGTGGGGTTGGCAAGTGATGGAGAACACTGATGGTTTTGTAGCATCCGGCTCCACGGAGGCCTCCACCACCACCGACTGGTTCTCAATGTCCAACACACACTCGTAGTCCAGATTCTCATCCTAAAGTACACAGACACACATATTTGCATACAAACACAGACAACATCATGTTGTTCTTTTTCAGTACAGTTAGGTGTGAAAATCGGGATTTGTTCTGCCTGTCACCGTACAGTACCACACTGCAAAGCTGATTTTTCAGATTTCATAAAATCAAAACAAGACACCTAACATGATAATGCCCTTTTAATTTGGCAGTAATTATCCCTCCTTAACAGCAGTTCACAACACAACCTATAATGGCACCTTGGGGCTATTTTAGATTAGAAAAGAAAAAATGACATTGGGGGGAAAGGGGGTATATTCTGAAGAAAAACTCCTGATCTACGAGATAGAAGTCTAAAGTTTAAAGGGAAAACATTTCCTGAGATTTAAAGAGTATATGTAAGAGAGAAAACACAAACAATTACAAGGAAAGAAAACTGAAATATTATCTTAAACATAAGACTTAATCCAAGGAATTCACACTTATTTTCCTATAACATTGTCCCCTCCCCCAGCGGCATATTTAAACATATATATGAAATATAAATAAACAATATGCACCTTTATGTCCTTAAACAATAAATATACTTTCCAGAATGTTTGCAAAGTTTGTAACCAATGCTGGTAAAAAAACGTTACATACTTACTCATCAATACCATGTTAACAGGTCCCTAACATACTGAGTACTGCTGTAATGCTCCCTTTAAGTCAAGGGGTGGCTGAGCTTTGTTGGGCTCCGTTACCTGGAAGAGGTGGAGGTGTAGTCCCAGCAGAGTGACCTTCCTCTCCACGTTGACCGGGAGCAGAGAGGAATCCTGAACCTCCTCCACACACGGACACTCCTGATGACACAGTGAGAAATAAATATATACACAGGGACAAGGAAATGTAGCCATGAACCTATATCTGCTTAAAAGGATCCATTATATAATCATTGACATGCATTATGTGAATGACTTACACTAGATGTTTGAATACTTACATTTGAAAATGTCTCCTAATAAAACTTTTTTTTCCCAAACGTGTTTCTCAGATAAAACAAATAATACAATCATGGAACTTTTATTTTCCACAATCCCAGGAGTTATAAAAGAGTTGGCATGTCACAATGTCTAAAATAATATTGTAAATTAAAGACTTTTTTTTAACATGAACAGCGTTTCCCTGAAATGTTCCTATTTGCTTAGCGTAAACCAAGACAATCAGCTGCATAAAATCATCCCCCCCCCCCAACAAAACATCCCAGGTAAATATCTGATGCACCTCAACTCATCTTTGATTTATACACTGTAATAAAAAAGTGCATTTTCTAATGATTTACAGAAAATCCAACATGGGAAAAGCTACCCAACGGATACGGATACCTAGCTCAGGAACTATGAAGATGCAAGAACAGCAAACAAAACTAAAAGGAAACAACAACTAAGAGGTCATAACCACAAAAACACAACAACAGCCATGAATGACGTGCAAGTAAAACACCGGGCCTGCAGGAGAAAATAAAGCTGTCTTTGGGTGGCATGAAGATAAATGATGGGTGTGGAATAGTCAATCATTCTGTCAGGTCAGCGCCTCGGATTGATCAGTTCTGTCCTCGAACAGTCACCCTCCTTCTCATCTACAAGAGAGCTAATGAAGACAGTAGCAATACAAGTTTGGTATGCAATATTTTGTATTGATGTCAAATAAGTCCTAAGAAGATGTACTGCTTATATTTACTGTAGATACTTACAAAGACATGTTAGATAGTATGTGAGACATCGAGAGAGACATTAATAAACTAATAAACACTTTGATATAATGCCAACTCGAAAACTGAAATGCTCGTGGCTCCAGCGTGGACAATGTTTGTTATTGTATTCATTATCTTATCAATCAATTATCTTATTGTAATTGATTTTTCCAATTTTTTCATTTTATGTTCTTTTATCATCACTTATTTTATTGTATTTAAATATCCTTATTGTATTATATTTTTTTGTTTTGTTTACAGTTCTAATGCTTTAAATGTTGTTTAATAGTAAATGTCTTATGTTTATGTAAATAGTTTTATTTTAAATGTTATTGGTCCTTTAACTTAAACTTCTCATGTTTATATATACATTTTATTGGACATTTTTCCTTAACTTTTTATGTTTATATAATATACCTTTTTGTTTTATTGTATCTTTTTATTGCACGGTCTTTCAACTTCATATATATTTCTTTTCAATTTATTGATTTATTTAATAAAACAATTTAGCACTTTTACTACGAGAATAACAAAATAAATCCTGAAATATTCGTCTAATGGTAACTGCAGGACATCTAGACCATCGTCACCCTTGGTTTCAGCACTCACCCTGAAGTAAGAATCAGAGGAGGAATCTGATTGGTAGTTATCTTCAGATTCAGAGTTGGGCTCAGTAAATATGTCGGGTGTTTGCGTGGCGATGAGCGGCATTTCTCTGGGGCTCGACTCTGCAATGGAGGAACCTGTAGCAGAATCCGCCTCAGACACTTCCTCCTCCTTCTCCCATGGAGCTGTCTGACTCTCTGCACGCTCCGTATGGTCCCTGAGATGCAGCTCTGTGAGAGGGACCACATCACTGGAGCTGGTGGAGCTCACTTCAGAGTACACCGCTTCCTCAGTCGGCTCTAAATACCTCACATTAGAGTCTACATAACCACTAGTGCTGCTGGGTAATGTAGTTTGGGGAGTTTTCTCAGTGACATTCAAGGTTTCAGTCTCTGCATCCTCTGAAAAAGCTCCTGCAGTGCTTCCATCCGTCGCCCCCCAGCCTCCTGAGGAGGAGGCGTGTGTGGTGGTCGCCTGGCTGAAGACCCTGACAAAGGGGGAGGTTGTTGCCAGCGTAAGGGGGGAGGTGGGTTCAGCTTGAAGGGTGGTGGGTGGTGTCACTGTAGTGGAAGTTGTAAGG